CCCTGTTCGGCTTTTAAGAAAACAAAAGGCGTTAAATAAATTATTCGAACAAAAATCGGCCTTTGTAGCTTACTCCAATTTCTAAGGTGTGGCCCCTTGAACAATGACTGATTGTACGTGAGTATATCACACCCAGAAATCACAGGGTTATTTACTTGTCCCAAATATGCTTTAAACATACACACGCTTTTACCCTGTCAGTACCTCTAACGAGGCTCGTTGTTCCAATTCATTCTGCAGTTTAATTGAGGCAGTGTTTCAATTTATGAAAAGCATCAAAAAGCTATTGTGTAGATGCCATGCTGGAAGTCGCCACTTGAGGTAACAGACATGCGTTTCGGTGGCTAGAGGTGTCCGACAGACAGGTGCATGCACCCACATCACCACTTAAGTCACAATGATGCGGCCAAGAGTACTCTGGGAATGCAGCAATGTCACGAGACCATTTAAAGCTGCAACTTGCGACCATTCCTCGAAGTATGATCCGCACCTCCTCAAACAGAGAGGTATTTGGCTTTAGAAGCTGAATGAAAAACAGTGCTGCTGCTCACAGATGTCACACTTCGTATGTATCGCATACGCAGAACTAGTGACATGTGCGCATTCAGTACAGTTGACAAGTACTAGCCCTTAAACCATCACTTATCTCATCATATATTCTGAACTAGTAAAGCAGTGATTTGGCACACGGCAAATCAATGCTGTATCGGCATGTTCTACAGGGCCAATTAGGACAAGATTTTATTTTAAAGTCCAGGACTTACTTACTGGGCGTCATGCTCAAGCATCAGAGCAGTCCACTATGTAGAAATGCCACTCACCAGAATCGACAGGGTTGCAGTCGTCCACTATTGAACCTAACGTCTGTGGCGCGTGACGTCTGATAATACGAAGATAGAGAGTGGACAATTCACTTTATAGGTGGCGACCAAATAAGGATCCTTGTTTATCATTGATTTGGCATGGCTGAGTAGGACGAAAGTGATTTCTATTTGTCAAACCACTCAACCATTACTCTCCTCCAATCAGTGTCAAATGCCATTTCATTGATTATCAACAGCCTGTGACGTAGAGCCAACAACTCATCCGCAGTCGTGACACCAATCTAGGCTTCATCGTAACATCGATGGCTTGCATTAACTATGCGTGTAGTGCGTCAAGCCATCAAATTAAGCCAGTGAGATTCATCGGTTTCCAATAAGTCACTCCTGATTTGAGCCACTCAACCAGTTAATGGTTGGATGAGAGGAGCAATTGTTGCAAAATCAGCACCCCAAAGTGGGTGGGTATGGAAAACCGCTGCTCTGGTTCACCCTAATTTCAACAATTTCACCGATTCAGAGCATCATCGTGTCAATGAC